CCTCTCCTCTCGTCACAGGAACGGGCTGGCGGACTGCTACGAGCAGGGGCTGGTCAGGGAGGTGGGCGTCAGCAACTACGGGTGAGCCGGCACCAAGATTTTAAAGTCTTGGGTTTAGGCAAGTACGGGAGAGCCGCCGCCCGTGGGGCGAACAGCAGGGAACCGCGGCTCCTGGGCACTGCGAGCCCCTGATACTGCCAGCCCCCCGCGCGGATCAAGGACGACCTGCACATCCCACGATGAAACTCATAGATGATGCAATCCTTCATCAGGCCTCAGCCCTTAATCATGTGACGCTCGACACGGCTCGTGCCCCTCCTCACCAGGCCCAAGGAGCTGCGCAAGGTGGCCAAGAAGTTTGCCGGCCGCGGCGTCCCCCTGGGCTCCGCGCAGGTGCAGTTCAGCCTGCTGTCCTGCGGCGCCCAGCAGCAGGAGCTGCAGGAGACGGCGGCGGAGCTGGGGGTGACCGTCATCAGCTACTCGCCGCTGGCGCTGGGGCTGCTCACGGGTGGGGTGGGGGAGCGCGCCGCCAGGGGGTTGGGGCTGTTTTCTGTGTGACGCTGTATCATGTGCGTTGTGGCGCTGGACGGTGGCGACGTGGTTGATGTTCCAGCGGCGGCTTGCGAGCGCATTGGGCCACAGCTCAGCAACACCGAGCATATGATCTCCAAAAGTGTGCTGATTGGGTCGGATGAGTCAGAATGCGGTCTGGGTTACGACCACCTCCGTCCTCCAGGCAAGTACTCTGAGGATAACCTGCCCCAGGGGCCGCGGGGCGCCCTGTTCAAGGGGCTGCTCCCCGAGATCGCCCCCCTGCTGGCGGCGCTGGAGGCTGTGGCCAAGAGCAGGAGGAAGAGCATGTCCCAGGTGCGCCTGCAGGGCTGGGCAGTGCTGTGGATGTGACCACGTGTGCAAAGGTACAAAACCTTGTGTGCATAAGGGCGCACTCGTGACTGCAGCTAGGGTGGCAAGCTTGTCTGCAACAGCCCTGCACATCTTTGTCTTCTGGATTGATACAAGCATGGGCATGAGCGCCTCGCCTCGCGCCATCCCAGGTGGCGATCAACTGGTGCATCTGCCAGGGCGCCGGCCGCGGCCTGCCGCCCACCATCCCCATCCCCGGCGCCAAGAGCCTGGCGCAGGCGCAGGACAACCTTGGGGCGCTCGGCTGGCGGCTGTCGGAGGGGGAGTGCCGGGAGCTGGAGGCGGCGGCGGCGCGCTGCAAGGGGCGCATGGTGCAGAACGTCTTCCAGACGGCTTGATTGCGTGCTGGCGGCGGCGATTGGTGCACGCCCTTTTTGCTGTTGTTTGCGGAGTGACGTGGCAGCTTTGTGACCTGGGGGTGCCGTGAAGTTGCAACCGGCTTCACCAGGTCTGTGGGCACGTTTTCTTTGGGTAGTGCACCGTCAAGTAACGCCTTGCCATGGCGTACCATAGCGTGAGAGTGCCCCAATCCATCCACTCCGGGTTGGAGCCGGATGTGCGCTTCGCACTGGGGCGCAGTTTGACCGGGTCAAACAACTCACGGCCAGGCTGGGCGGACTGCAGACCTGAGTTGAACAGGCAAGGGTGCTCGCAACTCAAGAGGTTGCCCACATGTGACGGTGGGGCAACAGGTGGCTCTGCTGACTCTGCATCATGTCATGTCGCGGACGGTTTGCCGAGATGCAGGCCCCAACCTGCCCCAAATTATCTAGTGCCATGTGTATCACCACATGCATCACCAATAACACTGATATGTGACGAGAGGGGATAAATCGGCGTGGCTCTGAAACCGGATCGAGATCTGGCGATCCACGGGACAGCGAAAAACGACATAACTACAGGCCTCACACATACAACATGATCGGTTTCAGCAGTTTTGATCTACGGCAATGGACGCTGAACGGCTCCCGAATCAACGCACGCGTCTCGAAAGGCGCGCCGAGCGCCGCCCGGCCCCCGCTCGTGCTGCTGCACGGCTTCCCCGAGACGCACGTCATGTGGCGCCGCATCGCCGAGCAGCTGAAGGACGCCTACCACCTCGTGCTGCCGGACCTGCGCGGCTACGGCGACTCGGCGCAGCTGCCCGGCGACGCGGACCACGCCAACTACAGCAAGCGCGCGATGGCTGCAGACGTGATCGCCCTCTTGGACGAGCTAGGCATCGATTCTTTCTTCCTATGCGGCCACGACCGCGGCGCGCGCGTCGCCCACAGGCTGGCGCTGGACCATGCGGCGCGGGTGCGCAGGCTGTGCGTGGTGGACGTGGCGCCGACGCTCGACATGCACGAGGCGACAGACGCCGCGTTTGCGCAGGTGACAGCCCCGGCGGCGGCGGGCGCGGAGGGCCCCGGCGCGCCTTGGCGAGCGCCTCGAGGCTGTTGATGTTTGGTCTCCCTTAATCAGGCCCTCGGTGACAGCGGGCCGACGCCGTGCATTGTTCTTCAGAGGGTGTCCGGATGCGATTGTGCCCAGCGATGTTCAAAGCTGCAATAGCCGGCGTCGGAGCACCCGGTGAGAGGCCGCCAGCACAGCGAGCACCCGCAAGTTCTCTCACTCAAGCATGCTCGTGTGAAACACCCTTCCACTGCCCCAGGCCTACTACCACTGGTTCCACCTGAGCCAGCCGTCGCCCCTGCCAGAGCGCATGATCGAGGGCTGGGCGCGCGAGTACCTGCACGCGAAGCTCGGCGGCTGGGGCGCCGGGGGCCTGGCCCACGTGGAGCCGGAGGCCCTGGCTGAGTACGAGCGCTGCTTCCTGCGGCCGGCGGCTTCGAGCGGCGGGCTGATGCCGGCGGTGCACGCGGCGTGCGAGGACTACCGCGCGAGCGCGTGGGAAGGGATCGACGTGCGGCACGACCGGGAGAGCCGCGCGGGCGGCGCCAAGGTGGCGTGCGACACGCTGGTGCTGCTGGGGGAGCGCGGCGTGGTCGCGCGGATGTTCGACGCGCCGGCGCTGTGGCGGGCGGCGTGCTCGGGGGCGGTGGAGGCGGCGGCGCTGCCGGCGGGGCACTTTTTGCCGGAGGAGGTCCCCGAGCTGACAGCACAGGCACTTCGGGAGTTCTTCCGGTGACGGGTGCAGGCCGCGGCTTGGGGGACCAGCGCTGGGTGGCCGATCTGGGTCCCCGCTGACTGGGTCACTGCACATCGTGCAGATGCTGACTCGATGTTCGCTTGCTCATGTGACCGGATGCTTTTATGCTGCAAGCCCATGCAACACAAAATCACAAATGAGATGTGTGCGCTGGCTCAGTGGGACTGCTGGCATATTGGAAACAGCATGGGGGCAAAGTATGATGCAGTGAGTGCGCGCAATGGCGGTCAACAAGTCAATCGAGTAGCCACTGCCGAATGAAACCATGACAGCCTCTGCGGTGGAGTAGGGCTTTGGGAGAATCAAGTGCATGCGAGCTATATAAGATCTAAAAGCACCTGAAATCTTTTCACGACGCTCCAGGGCTCTTTCTGTGGCCGCGAGGAAGCTGCGTCCCGCCCAAAACGTGATCTCTGATCTGAAGCAAAAAAACGTTGAGTTATCTTATACCAGCGCATACATCAGAAATCACGGAAAGTTGTAGTTTCGTACACTATTCAGAGCCGCTCTCCAGCTTTCGCAGCGAAGCATCTGGCGTCTTCTCTGTCGTCCGCCTGGCAACCCGATCGCAGCGCCTCCAATCAGCCGTTAGACATCTTATCACGCGTTGAAGCTATGGCAGCGGCATATCAGCAGCCCCTGGACTTGGGGTCTCTGCGGGAGTATGTAACAGGCCAGAGCCGGATGCAGCAAGCGGCGGACAGCACTGTGCTGCTGTGCATCGCCCACAATCACCTCAAGGCCCGATTCCCAGAGATCCGGCTCGATCTACACGTGAGGCATGGACAGACGCTCTGCATACCTACAGCAGCGCCGCGCCCCGCACATGGCAGCCACCTGCGGTCCCCGCACTGTGGCGCAGTCAACAAACGGCCCCCCCGCCCCGCCGCGCTCAGCACGCCCTGCCGTCCCCTCTCCCTTGGCGCCCGCGCAGATGACCGTCGACACCGTCAAGTCCAAGGTCCACACGCACACGGGCACGTCGCCAGACAGCATGGTGCTGCAGCTCAAGGACGAGGGCGGGCGGCTGGTGGCGGTGCTGGACGACGGCGGTCGCAAGCTGGGCTACTTCAACCCGCGCAACGGGTGGGCGCGGTTCGGCAACACGACGGGCCGCGCGGCGCGTGCGTCAATCTGCCAAGCCGCTGGTCCCTTGAGTTGAGGCAGCAGCAGCAACTGGAGCGGCGCTCGAGCCAACTAGACGGCTCGAGCGGGACGTGCCGCTGCTCCGCAACGACCGGCGCCGCGCCCGCCGCCGCCCCCGCCGTCCCAGTTGGACGCTGCAGGTGATCGACACCGACGGCAGCTCCCTGTCCGCCCAGGGGTGGCTGGATGATGTCAGCAAGGTGCAGAAGTACGTCATCAGCGACAGCGATTACGACAAGCGGGAGAACACTTACAGGCGCGCGCAGGGCCCTTTGTTATTGTTCGCAAGCTGCGCAGCGGCGGCCGCCGCGCGCCGTGCTGCAGCTGCTCGAAGGGCGCGCCGACATTGCGGGAGGCTTTGCTTTTTGTTTGTTTCCTGCTTCAATGAAAGCCGCATCTCATGCGGGCGCTCACCCGGCAAGGCGTCCACCCGCAGGTGGCCCCCGCCGCGCTTCTGCCACCGGCAGCTCTCTCTGTGGATTGCTTCTTCAAGCCCTGCCCTGCAAACCTGCCACTCCTTCACCCTCGCTCCCACCCATCCATACACCCGCCAGTTCACCCACCCACCCTCAAACCACGCGGCCCCACCCAGGAAGTTCAAGGCGGCCAAGATGGCGCAGGACCCGACATGGACCCTGGAGAAGGAGCTCGCGCTCAAAGCCGGTGAGCGCGGGGCAAACAACATAGATCGAACCAAACATCAGCCGCAACAGGCAGGCAGAAGCAACAAGGCGCATGCAGAGTGCGATGTTGCTAGGACAAAGCTTAGCGGCCGTCTGGGCAATTGTCGCAGATTGGTGGCTTGAGAGCCAGGGGCTTTTGTTTGCCATGAGCGGGGTCGACGCAGGTCCATTCGAGCAACCACCCGCAGGGCGCGAATACACGGCGCCCGAGGCCAAGGCGGCACCCGAGGACGACTTTGGGGAGAGCGAGGCGGCGGCGATCGACGTTGGGCGGCGGTGCTGCGTCGACCCCGGGGAGCGGCGGGGAGAGGTCAAGTGAGCGGGGGGGCCCGTCACGCTGCGCTTGCACACTCCCATAGGATGCATCAGGAGCTCCGAAGGCATCGGCGGCACGCCCTTGGCTCGCAGTTGCACATGCCAGCTATAACGAGCTGCTGGCAGATCTTCCCCAACCCCCTCTCTCCATGCCATCTACCCTCTCACCCCAACACTTCCCCCCGATTGTCCACACGCATGCACATTGCTGCCGCTCCCCGCCTCAGGTTTGTGGGCAGGGTCGAGGGCCTGGCGGCGGGCTACTGGGTGGGCGTCGCCCTGGACGAGCCGTGCGGGAAGAATGACGGCAGCGTCAAGGGGCGGCGCGTGTTTGAATGCGCGCCGGGGCACGGCGTGTTCGCGCGGCCGGACAAGATCGTCGTCGGCGACTTCCCGCCTGTCGACGACTTTTCTGACCTGGGGTCTGACGATGAGATCTGAGCGCGGCGTCTGCGTGTGTTAAGCTCTCAAGTATGCTTTGCACCGCCGGGCCAGCGCGTCGAGCATGGCGCTGCTGCATGCTTGATGAGGATGTGGAGATGCGCAGTGTCCAGGTGGCACTGCAGTGACCTTGACAGCGGGTGACGGCCCAAGGTATGCTTGCCAGCACATGAGCCTTGCGCTTAGGTCCAGTCTCCAGCATTGAGCAGGGTGATCTTGCTTCGAATGCAAGGCGTCGCATAGCTAGCAACGCCACGTCTGTCGGTCGCTGACTGGTAGCAGCAGCAGTGGCAGCAGATCACATTCTGCATCGCAGGGAGCGGTTGCCGCGAATCAGGACAATGTCCAGCATCGATGGAACAGACCAGCAGGTACATAACGTGCAGGGTTGCGCGTGCCTGCGATCCAAGGGGGCGTTTGCAGAGGACCGCCACAACGTCCCGTTCCCTTTTGCAGGGAGACTATATAGAACACCCCCTACAGGATTCAGCATCGCCCGGACCCAGCCAGCGGGCCGAGCCCGAGCCCGTCATCGCGGGCGCGGACGCAGTGACCGCGAGCGCGCTCGCCGACGACGCGCCCGACGCCACCTCTGCGCTCCGCGAGTTCCTGAGCCTGCTCCAGGGCGCCGACGACGCCGACACCGTCGACCGCGGCCTGCTGCTCCTGCTGCTGGCCTTCACAGACCGCTGGCAGCAGGGCGCCGCGCCGCGTGGCACGCCGCAAGACGTGATCGCCGCCCTGCCGCGCGTCCGCGCCGCCGCCGCGGCCGGGCACGACGCAGGCAAGCCGCCCGACGCAGCGGCAAGCGCACCATCGGGCGCGGGGCCGCACGCAGAAGACGCGCAGCCGGCAGAGGGCGCGGCGGACGCGCAGGCGCGCCCCCCGGTCGGCGGCCCCGCGGAAGGCAGCTGCCCCTGCTGTTTTGAGGAGCCCGAGGTTGTCGTCCGCTTCCCCTGCGGCCACTGCGCCTGCGAGCCCTGCACCCTGCGGTGGCTGGCCGGCCACGACACATGCGTGATGTGCCGCGCGCCAGTTAGCAGCGGCGGCCCCAGCAGCAGCGACCGTGGCGGAAGCGGCGGCGGCGGCGGCGACGGCGGCGTCGCCGCGGCGGCAGGGCGCGCGGCGCGGGACGCGCTGGCACTCGGCGACGCGCCCGAAAGCATCGAGGCGCTCGCGCGGCGCCTGCTCGGCCCGCGGCCGGCCCCAGCCCTTGGGTCGAGCCTTGCAGCAGCGGCGGTTGGGGAGACGGCGGCCGCGGCAGCGGCAGGTGGCTTCGGCGCAGTCAGTGGCGGCGGCGGCGGTGGCGGCGCTCTGAGGCGCGAGGTGTCAGCAGCGGAGTCGCTCCAGGCTGAGGCGGCCGGGCGGCGGCTGAGGGCGATGCGCGAGTCGCTGCAGCGCATGCAGGTGGGGACCGCGGCGCTGCGGGCGGCCGGTGCGGGCTGCTCCGGTAGCGTGTCGCCCTGCTACGCTCCAGCCAGGCCGTTCAGGGGCACCTGATTTGAGGAGCCAGTCGGCCTGCCTGACCCCGCACCGCCGGCCCCCAGCAACGGTGCCACATCCACTCCCTCCCTCAACGCCTGCCCCGCCCCCGCCCGCGAGCGCAGTCCGCCCTGTCGCAGCACGCGGTCCAGCAGCGGCAGCTGGAGGGGCAGATCGAGCAGCTGCACGACCAGCGGCTGCGATTGCAGCGGGAATACGGGTCCCTGAGGGTCCATGGTGACAGGATTGCCGCGCAACTCAGGAGCCTGGCGGAGCGTGCTGCGGCGCCGGAGGCGGGGCCGGGGGCGCCAAGTGAGGCGGGTGCGCGGGAACGGGACGGGGGGAATAGGCAGCAGGAGCAGCAGCAACAGCAGCAACAGCAGCAGCGGGAGCAGCGGGAGCAGCAGCAGCAGCAGCAGCAGCAGGAGCAGCAGGAGGAGGACGGCAGGGGCGCGGCGGCGGGAGCGCAAAGCCATGGCGAGGCGCGTGGTGAGGGCGGCCACGGCAGCGGCCTGCCCCGGAGCGGCAGTGGCGATGGCGCTGCGCCGCCAGGGCGGCCGGGCGGCACAGTGCTGACGCCGCTGCGGCTGGCCCGCGGCGGCTCCGCGCCGCTCGGCGCCGCAGCGGCCGCAGGCGCCGCCGCGCTTTGCGCCGTGAGCGGCCAGCGGCCGCCCACGCCGGACCGGCGGCCCGGGTCGCGCGGCGCCGTTCCGCCGCAGCACCCGTTCGCCGACGCGGGGGCGGCGGCGCTATCCCCGTTTCGCAGCCGCGCCGGGAGCTGGGACGGGCAGGCGGCGGCGCCGGGCAGCAGCCCGCTCGCGCTGGGCTCGCTGTCTGCGGCGCTGGGCGGCGGCAGCGCCGGCGGCAGCCCCGTCCGCACGCCCCTGCGGCGAGCGTCCTTCTCCCCTCGCTACCCCTACGCGAGCGCCCGCCGCAGCCTGGACGGACAGACCAGCGGCAGCGGCGGCGCGACGCCGCAGGCGGGCAGCCCTGTTGCATCCCCGCTGCCGCCGCTGGCGTTTGCAGCGGTGTGGCCGATGCTGCCGCCGGCGGCGCCACAGCACGTGCCGTTGCAGCAGCAGCAGCAGCAGCAGCAGCAGCAGCAGCAGCAGCAGCAGCAGTCCCCAGCGGGGACAAGCGCTGCCGCGGCGAGCGCCACACCTTCGGAGCCCCCACTCCCCGCCAGACTGCCAATGGGCTCAGTCCCGCGCCCGTATCACTGGGAACGCGAGCGGTCGCCGGCCGCAGACGAGCCCGCCGCGCCGGCGGCAGCTGCGGCAGGTGGGGACTCGCGGGGCTTGCAAGGGGCCGCAGGCCAAGGAGACGATGCGCGACCATCACAGCAGCAACAGCAGCAGCAGCAGCAGCAGCAGCAGCAGGAGCCCGGCCTGCCCCATCCGCCGCCCGAGCGGCGCTTCGCGGGCCTCGACGCGCTGCGGCGCCACAACGCGCTGCTGGGGCGCGAGACGGAGCTCCTAGAGGCGGAGGCGCGCCTCAGCCGCGCGGAGGCGAGCCTGCTGCGCGCCCAGGAGGCGGTGCTGCAGCGGCAGGCGCAGCTGCTGCGTCACCAGGTGGCGCAGCTGACGGCGGGCAGGGCGGCTAACGGGGAGGATGGGGCGGCTGGGGGCCCCGCGGCTGGCGGCCAGGAGCGGTCCGAGGAGCAGCAGCGGCCACAGCAGCATGAGCAGCAGCAGCAGCAGTAGCGGTAGGAGCGGAGCCGCAGCAGCAAGACCGAGGCAGCAAGAGCATGTGCGGAAGCTGCGCGGCAGGTGTACCACCGAGTCCCCCTTACTACGGCAGCCCAGGAACTCAACAATGCTTTCTCACCAAAGTGGCAACATGCGTTTGACACTTTCATACTGCGTGGTGGCATACAGAGTAGAAGCAACAGCATCGCCTCGCGCGCCGCCCCAAATCCACGCTCGCTGCATGTATTTTTTGCACGGCTGCCGGCTGTGAGTAAAAACCTTTGCGTGCTGTTTTGCAGGCGTACACGCAAAATGTGAGATGCAAACAGTGCTGTTTGCACAAGTCAAAGGCTTACAGGAAGACAGAGTGCCAACACACAGAGCTACAGAGCATCACCAATACCGAGACACAACCAATACGAGGGTTGAGGTCAGAGCTGCCGCCCGACACAGGGCATGAACAACCAGCATACAACCTTGCCAGACAAACCATCAAAAGGGGCACGATTGGCATGCTGACAGATGCTGCAAGCAGTCAACAGGCCCCTCCAATGCACCTGAGCCCTTCTTGAGAACCCTGCAGCAGCAGCCGGCACCTGGATTCTATTCGAGAACCTCTGCAGCCTCCGCGATTGCTGCTGCTGCTGCTGCTGCTGCTGCTGCTGCTGCTGCTGCTGCTGCTGCTGCTGCTACCCCTGCTGCCCATGCAACGCCGGCGCCGCCGCCGCCCTGAGGGTCATGAGCTCGTGGTCATAAAACAGTGAGCAGTAGAACGTCACCACGGGCCGCCCCTCGACCTCCTCCACCACGCCGCCCGCGGCCACATCCACACCCGCCTCGCAGCCCAGCGCCGCCGCCGCCGCGGCCGCCGCCGCTGCAGAGTCCCCAGAGGGCGCACCCGGCGGCGGGCCGGGCAGCACGCGGCACGCGGCGAGCACGGCGCCGGCGAGCGGCAGGCGGCAGGCGTCTGATGACTCGTAGAGCTGCGGCCCGGGCATCGCAAAGATCGTCTCGCAGGGGCGGTAGTACCGCGACACGCGCGCAAACATGCGCGGCCGGCCGTCGCTCGGCACCTCCTGCCACAGCGCCTCGACGCGCACGACCCGCGGCAGCGACTCCCCCAGCTGCGGCAGCAGCAGCAGCCACCCGCCGGGCCGCACGATGGCGGCGGCCGGCGCGGCGGCGCGGGGCGGGCGCGCGCCGCCGCGGGCGCGCGGGCTGCTGGCGGGAGAGGAGGGCGCGACGAGGCGCAGGCCGCCGAAGAAGGTGCGCGGCTGCTGCGGCGGCGCGCCGTTCGGCGGGGGCAATGGCGCCCCCTCCCACTGCAGCTGCGGCAGGCGCGGCGGCCGCAGCGAGCCGGGGGACGGCTGCGAGACGACGGGCGACGGCGGCGGCGGCTGCTGTGCCGCCGCGGTGCGCGCTCGCGGCGGCGTGCGGGCACTGGGCGGTGCTGGCGAGGACAACTTTGCCTGCTCCTGCTCCTGCTCCTGCTGCTGCTGGACTTGCTGCTGCCCCTGGTCCTGTTCTTCCTCCTCTTGCTGCTGCCGAGGCTGCTCCTCATGCCCCGCCGCCTCTTCCACCCCAGGCGCCACCCGCCGGATCTTCTTCTTGGACGGCCCCTGCCCTGCCCCCACGCCACGCCCAGCCGGCGTGCCCTTGGCCCCCGGAGACGCCGCCCCCGCCACCGCCGCAGTCGCCGCCTGCGGCCGCGCCTTGGCCGGAGACGCCCCGCGCGCCGCCTTTGAGCCTGCTGCCGCCGCCGAGCGCCCTGCCGCGGGCGGCGCTTGAGGCTTCTCCTGCCGCCGCTGCTCCTGCCGCTGCTGCTCCTGCTCCTGCCGCTGCTGCTCCTGCTCCTGCCGCTGCGCAGCCGCCGCCGCGAGCGCGGGCGGCAGCTCCGCGTCAAGCAGCGCCGTCAGCACCTCCGAGTGCCGCAACACCGGCACGCGCAGCGCGCGCGCCGCGCGCCGCAGCTCGTCCAGCCGCTTCGCGCCC